GAACAATATTATTGGTGATGATGGTTGTGTGATGGTAACAATTTTTTCTCGATATTTACATTATTTTCTGGTTTTAGACAAGCGTGTTATACGTTGTGGTCCAGTATTATTAAAAGCATTGATAGAACCTTACTGTGTGATTGTTATCGTTATTATTATTATTATTGTCATTAACGATTTCGATTTTTATGCTCAAATTTTTCACACTCGATCTTATATATCCTCTTTTTTTCCTGGCTACTGGTTCCTGCTGCTGCTGTTGTTGTTGTTGTTGTTGTTATTGTTATTGTTGGTGACACTTTTTTCCCTCTCGGTTATTGTTGTTGATAATATTGTCACCAAAAACTATTAATATTAATGGCCACAATGAACAACAACAACAACAACAAGCAAAAACAACACACAATCAGGCCACAAATAACAAATATCAAGCGACCGAAACCAAACTTGATAAAGGCAAAAAAAATGAAATCAACTATTTTCATTCAATTTTTTTCACTTTATATATTCTATGAATTCGGATACAAACAACAAACACCAAGACAAACAATGACAAACGAAATAAATGTGTTTGTGTTTACAACACAATAAAAGTCAAGTACACGCATGAATGGACACACATCTCAAAGAAAAAAAAATATAATAAGATCCTGGAACACTTTGATAATATGGATAATATAGAAACACACACACACACTTATATTTTAATGTATTTGACGTTTACATTGTTATAATGAAAACAGTAAAATAACTGAAAGTGAAAAATAAATTTAAAATTCAATTGTAAGCTAAACGAGAATTTCAATAATTTCAGCAATATGTAAGACACACATTTACGAATAGTGATTGAAATAATCATTTGGATAGCCAAAACAAATGATTATCTACATACAGCAAAAAAAAATCATAAACATGGTAATTCAACTCGAAGAAGAAATCTGATAGCCTGGTGTTTGAATTTTTGTTGTTTCAATAACAGGAATGCAGTGTGCAACTCTCTGTCAATTGATAATTATTCATTTCGAATTGATCATCATTCATTCATTTATTCAAAACAAATTGTATAACTCATTTATTATAATTTCTAACCTAAAAATTTTTTTTTTTGCTGCAGAAATTTACCTGTATCTATGTGTGTTTACCTCATACAAAATCATTAATTTCATTTGATGTTACGAATATTTTTTCTTACAACCAACAAAGACAAAAATCTAGTTGAATAAATCATTTTTTTTCTGCCATTCTCTCTGTGTTTCGCGGTTGGAAGTTTTTATCGTTTGAACTAAAAAAAACAAAAACAAAATTATTGTATACGATAACAAAAATTTCAATGAATGTAAAATTGATAATTGAAGACTGAAAAAAAATTCGTATGCCTTACAAAATTTTCAAATATAATCCAAATAAAATAACAAATTGGTGTTACCAACAACAACAACAAATGACCCAATGATGATAAACAGCATGTTTTTTTTGGCAGAAATAAGGCCACTCTCGTGTCTATCTCGTGTCATAGGTGATGTGTATGATGCCTGGCCATAAAAATTGATAACGATCAACAGGATCTTTGAAACATCAATTATCATTATTATCATGCATTTACAGACAAGTAAATCACAACTTTTTGTTGTCGCCAGTTTATATTCACCTGACAACACTAACAACAACGACGACGACGACGACGACTACAACAAAAAATGCCGACATTGATCCAAAAGCGGATATTGACCTATCGACTGACCAAGGGCTACTACTCTATCATTACATATCGATTTACAAAATACAATCTCCATTAAATCTTATTCTATTGAAATTGTTCTTTGATTTTTTTTACTTTTTTTCTAATATCGACTATATTGACAATCATAATATTTTCAGCATGAATCCGCTTGTTTTTCTTTGTTTGTTTCTGTTGTACATAAAAAAAATAATAGAAAAATCTCCAAAATATCATCAAAAACCATTTTTCACTCGAATTATTACAAACTACTACTACTACTACTACTACACACACAGACACAACATAATCGATCAGGATTATTCGATTGTAAAGAATAATGAAAAAAGAAAATCATTTATGAATCATTCGAAAGATTTGAATTTCCAATTTAAATTTCAATGTTGATGATGATGATGATGCCAAATAATCTCTAAATTTTTATTTGAATTCAAAAATAAAGATTTAAAATAAAAAATAAAATGAAATTTTATGCATGGAATCGAATATAAATATATGCTTGAATAACGATTGAATAAAATGAATGAAAAAAATTTAAAATTTTTTCATTTCATTTGATCATTGTGGATTTAACCAGTGTATTCATGCATACAAGAAGAGAGTAACAGAAAAAAAAAAATGCCAACGAATAGCCAGAAAAAATGACATTAAATAAAATAGAATTTTAACCAAAAATAAAAAAAAACTAACCTTACATTTTCTTTTTTTGTCAAAAAGTCAATTCAAATTAAATCGACAGTCATAATAAACGAATTCGATTGATTTATGAATGTGTTTTACCCAAAGCCAATATTAGGACAATGTTTGTATGGATGTTTTTTAGGTTCACTTAATCTGTTTATTTCGATAGCTTCATTCTAGCATAAACAAATCATTGCCAATGAGAATGATAATCATTAAACAACAAGAATAAACAAATTTCTAATGTTCCCTTAACTTACTGAATGAGATTTTTTTTGTTGATCATTTCTTTGGATCTGGTTGGGTAACGTTGTTTTTCGTTGTTGTTGTTTTGATGCATCATAAATCTTGTAAAAAAATACGTGTTTGAAATGTATGTACACACAAAAAAATTTGTTTCACAAAAACTGTCATCATCGAATGAATGGAATTTTTTTTCTATTCACTTTGGTGCTACCAATGTTTTTTTTTTCCAATAAACATGTTCAACAATATAATGGACAAATTAATTACACTCAAATGATTACGATTTGCGGTAAAACCTTGCGGGACCAGGGATCATAGCTCAGATAGGAGACATTGGACGGTTGTTTTGTTCAAAATTAATGGCTTGGAAATGTCAACTCTGTTATTTACTTGGTTATTACTTTTTTTTTACTTATTCAAGGACCTGTACTTTTTGTTATATGAATCGGTGTTTTCGTTTTTCATACTATTCAAATAAGCATTCTTTGGATAAATCAATTAAACTAGATGAGTAATAATACACTTTATTATTCGATTTATTACTCATACTTAAATGAATCGACTTTTCAGCTTGAAGTTTGTTTTGCTCAACGATACAACTACGACATCTATCGTTAGTCATTATTAAATTCTCATCAATGAAAAATATTTGTCACGAGTATGGAGCTGCCATCTATTAATATAATCAACAAATTATTATGTTGAATTTACTATTCATCAATCATGTTAAATGATTATGGTGGACAGTATTGCCATCTGTAAGTGTTAAACAAAACCATATATAATGGTGTTTTTTATTGATGATAGATGGTGTGATTATCAAATTTTTTAAAAAAAAGAATTTTCATTTATTTTTTTCCCCTTTAAAACTCAATCATCACAAATCATTTAGATCCATTTTATTATAACATGTTCCGATATCATTAGAATTCACTCTTTTTTTTCTCGAAATTTGTCGATAGCAATTTTTACTAATTTATCAAAATAATAAAGGTTAATTCGAATTAAAAACATAGACCTCAAAAAAAATCAATTTTTGTAACAAGATAAATCTGGATAATTACATGACAAATTCATTTTAATCTAGCTTCGATATAAGATTCCAAAAATTCTTGTCGCTGTTATACAAACTAGTCATCATTAGATATTTTAAAGAATTGAAAAAAAATCTCTAAAATAGCCTTCTATGGGTTAGTGCAAAAAAAATTGACAACATTATCAACAGTAAAATAAAAATTAAAATTCCTATTCAAAACAAAAAAAAAACTAAAACTAATAAATACATTCATTGTACCCTTCATATATCGATTGAATCAATCAGATCAAATTTTTCTTGTTCATGTTTTGAGACAAACAAACAACTAAATAAATACATTTCAGATAATACAATGGCCACAGCATAATAGCGTGCGCACAAACACAAACGTACAATATATATCACAGAAACAAACAGGAAAAAAAGCAATACCAGAAAATATTACTTCATCATTGTAAAAGTATATAGCATCATTGGTACCGGTCATAAAAGGCGGATTTCGGGTTTGTCCAAACGTGTATACACGTGAACAACATAGAAGCTAAACAAAACAAAACAAAATAAAAAAAACAATCATCAAACATAACATGCAGAACAGGCACACATACCACACAAATAGCTAGCTTGTAGGAATGTACCAATTCTAATTCATTCTCAAATGATAAAATTCAAATAGAGGGAGGATTGAAGGATTTTTTCTGGTATCATCAACAACAGGATAAAGATTCTGTGGTTCACAATTTTTTTTTGTCTGAAAATGTAATATAACAAGCAAACAAAAGAAATATAAATATATATAAAGTTATAATCTATTTGGTTGAATAGAATAGAATAAATATTTCACAACCAATTCGAATAGATAAAAAGCTAGGTCCTGGATAGTTGTCGATTATCAAACGATCGATCGTTCATTACAATTTTGCTTTATACCGTTTTTTTCTCTCTTTCACTCTGGAACCTTAATTTCACAAGTGTATGTGTACACGATACATACAATGTACATGTCCACGTCATTTACAATTTTCTTCTGGTTCCATGATGATTATACGAATTTTTTTTAGCCCCTCTCACTATTTACTATTATCCTTCTTGATCTGCCTTTTATTTCTGGGCCCATCCTCCTCCTGGTTTTTCTCCTATTGATTCGATCGTTTTATTTTTTTTTACTGTTCATGTTTCTGAATCATGTTGAACATAAAAATCGCTGCTACAATTCATATCTCATTCATTCATCCATGGTTGTACGATCTTCATTTTGTATCACTTGTATTTTTTTTGTGTATTTGGTGATGATTTGATTGTTGCATCATTGTGTATCGTCGAATATTAATGTCGATGGTATGATATACATAGAATTCTCATTCAAACATCCAATACAACGTATGAGTTGATGGCATATGTACATACACATACATTGACATTGTGTCCAACGACATAAACATCGACAACGACAACAACAAGCTTATGATCCATACGAAAAAAGAACAAGAATTTGAACAAGTGTTGAAACAAGAACCCCGATTTACCTATTATTATTATTATTCGGCCCAACAAACACAGGAACAAAGTATCAAATATAAAAACATAGACATACATACAAGTGCAACAACAACAGCAACGACGATGACAACAAGACTTGTCATTCTTGCAAAAAAAAAAATTTGTATCAACATCTATCAAACACTAAAACCAGCATCATTTTGACTACCAACCATTATCATCATAGTCAATTTTATTGTCTGTGTCGAACAACTTGTTCAACATTCATGTTCAACATAAATATCGTTATTTTATTTTCTGGGCAATTGTTTACAAATAAACATTTTCATTTAGAAAAAAAAATCTGTTCAATTTTCATGTTATAACGCATTGTCATAATTGTTGGTACATGAATCATCATTGATCATTGATCATTGTTGGTCAATTAAAAATCAATCAAGAATTTTTTTTGCACAATTTTTTAATGCCTAATCATTAATTGAAAATTCAAATTGGTAAAGAATAGATTAAAAGAAATGTCAACGACATTTGGATTGAGTTTTGTCTCATCATTATTGGTTGGTAATAATGATGATCAAAATCAATTGAATAGAACATCAATCAATACTGTTGGACATCAATTGTCATCATCGTCATCAACGAATAGTAGTAATAGTAATAGTAGTAATAGCAGTATAAGAAGTATGAGTTCATCATCATCATCAATGAAATTAGAACCAACAACAACATCAGCTATAATCATGCCTACTGGATCATCAAATGGTAATGGACAACAATCGGTTGCTGTATCGAGTTTATTGACAGAAACATCAGCATCAAATCGGAATATTTCAAGCTCACCATCAATACCGCCATCAGCATCATCAGCATCATTAAGATCACAACAACCAACATCATCATCATCAGCAACAACATTGTCGACAAGCGTAGCCGCATCATCATCGAATAGTTCACCCACGTCATTTAAACAATCCAACTATGAAACGACCAACAATAGTACTCCTTCTAGACTAATTGCCGGATATCCGAGACTACCGGGTTTGTATAGTTCAACATATGCCTCGGCCAATGATCAAAGTTCAACATTCTATCAAACAAATAGTGCTGCGGCTGCCGCCGCTGCTGCTGCATCATTCTATCCATCATTGGTGAGTGATTCTATTATTTACCCCAAACACACACAAACAAATGCAGACCAATAGACTGATTCGATTAAATCCAAAAAAAGACTAACAATCATTGGTCAGACGGTTGGTTGATTTTTAACATTAACAATCAATTCTTTCTTTTATATTTGTCTATCTGTACACATTGATAAATGCCTTTTGTTGTCATCATTCGCAGAGTACTCATTATGAATTAGATAAAAGCAACGGAAATAGTTGGACGCCGTTGACAGCAGCTGCGGCTGCATCACAAGCAGCAACTACACAATACCATACGCCTTATGATGCACATCATTCATTCTATGGTCCATATGGTAATTGTTATGGAGCCATCGATAGTGCTGCTCGACGAAAGAATGCAACCAGAGAGACGACCAATACATTGAAAGCATGGCTTTATGAACATCGAAAAAATCCATATCCAACTAAAGGCGAAAAGATTATGTTGGCCATCATAACCAAAATGACATTGACACAGGTGTCAACATGGTTTGCTAATGCAAGAAGACGATTGAAAAAAGAGAATAAAATGACATGGGAACCAAAAAATAAAACAAATGATTCACGTGACAATGATTCGGATAAAGATTCTCAAAAAATTATCGATGATGATGATGATGATATGGTGGTTGGCGGTATTGTCAATAATAAAAATGGTATGTGTGACGTGGAATTTTTTTTATTTTTTCCATAAAAATTTCTAATGATGATAAAAGTAATCTGTGGTTTTAATGTCATAAAACAACAAGATAAAAACATGATTGTATTTTGTTGTTCAAAATAGGGCTCAAAGAGTAGAAAAAATTTCGTTTCTGGTCTGATATGTAGTGAAGAAACTTTGTTGTTCGTATTTTTTTTTCACCCGATTAATTTGTTGTTACTATCAACAACATTCATTCATAACATCGGGTAGTATATTAGTTTAATTTAAACAAATGTTTTTTTTCTGTATTTTGTAAAAACAATGTATAGTGAAAACTAACCAAATAACATTAATAATAAAATGTGTAGCAGTTATAGTTGTAGTAAGCATATGATATTTGTATGTGTATAGAAAAATTCTCCGGTTTCAAATACCGATTATTCATTAATCTTCATTATGATGATTATTAGAACCATATAAACCTCTGTCTTGTTCTGTCGACAGTAATTACAATATTGACTTATTAATGAAATATATTATAAAAAGTCATCTTAGATTTCCAGTATCAAGACTAAAAAAAAAATATTCGAGTTTTACAATATATTTACGATAACTATCTAGGTAAAACTATTGGCAAGAAAAAGAAAATTCCAATAAGAAAGTAACAACAACAACAACAACAAGAGAATGTCAAATATGTCAATTATTATATAGTGAACATGTCGAGTAATATAATAATAATAATAGAAAGAAAAGAAAAAAAAATCTAAAGCAATAAATCATTTTGCATTTATTATTATCCTATTTTCCGATCGATCGATTTTCAGTGAGTTCATTTTTATTCTATATATTATATCTGTGTATATAGTTGATAACGGTAATGGACTACGAATCAATAAAGATCAAGATGGACGACTAACAAACACTAACAACAACGGTATTCTAATCGGTCAAAATACTATGGCGGCATCAAACAATCATCATAATCATCACAATCACAATAATCATCATCCTCATCACCATCAGCATCATCATCATTTGACCAAAGGTCATTTACTATCTAATCAAAGTGGAAATAATGTTGTTGGTGGACAATTAAGATCACCACAACAGCCAACGGCAACTACATTGATTTCACCGCCACCGTCACATTCATCACAAACATTTGGACTTACAATGGTCGAAAGTGATAACACGATGGATGGACAAAGGTAAAATTGGGTGTTTATCACACACACACAAAACTAGAGAGAGAATTTCTTTAAAAAAAAAATTTCAATAATTTTATAATCGATTTTTTTGTTTTTTTCTGATCACACAAAATTATTGGAATTTCATAGGCCAAAAATCTGGTCTTTGGCACAGACAGCGACATCGGCTGAAGCAGCTTCAGCAGCAGCCGCTGCTGCTAGTCTTGCTGGACGTTTATATCATCATACAACAACAGCCGCTGATTGGTCAACAGCAGCAGCCGCACATTATGCTGCCGCTCAACAATTTCAATCTGGACAGAATTTTTCCGATAATCTATCGTTGATTAATCCTTTGTCAGAACATTATCATCATCATCATCATAATCATACTCATTCTTCTCATCATCAAGTACCAACACAACAATCAATAACGGCAAATAATAACCATCAAAACGTGCAATCACCATCACATGCACCAAATAGTGGCAATCATTTACATCATCATTTTTATTCACCACCACCACCACCACCTCTTCCGCCAGCTTCATCATCATCATCAAAACAAAATGGATGGAATGATGAAACATCATCATCAATGGTGAATGGACCATCATCAAATGTCAATAATAACAATGTTGGATTTAATGGATGTTCATCGTTTCATCTGGCCACAAGCAACATACAAATGCCACTTTAAAAATATATTCAAGGTTCTTGATGATTAGTATAACCTAGTTTGTATTGAGAATTTTTTTTTTTGGACTGAATTACTTTTATTATGTGTTAGGTTTTTTGTGTGTATACTTACATTTACATTCCAAGAATATTTTGTTTCCCATTTGAATTTGAATTAGATTATGATTTTTTTTGAATGAATAAAATGAATGATTTTTTTTCTGAAATTCTTATTTATGACAATGACAATATAAAAATGTTCCAGATTTGGTTAGTTTTTTCATCCATTTATTGATTTTTATTCATTGTTCCAATGAAAATCATTTATATTCGGTACCATTATTTATAAAAAAAATGTTTGTTTGAAAATGCCGAGGTTTTGTTATTGTATTCAAACCAGAATCTATTGTTGTGTATGCGAGAAGAAAGACATTGGTTCATGAACAATTTGTTTCGTTTGTCGAGCTACTATTATATCCATTCATTCAATTTGTTAACGATCGTTCTGTATATAATAATCAATTTTGTTTATGTGCACAACAACAACAATATCGATGATGACAATCGTGTGATTGAGATTGTATACATTATTGAATTGCGAATATTGAATATCAAATCAGATTGAATTCAGATTTGAAAATAAAATGATTCTTTCTTACCAGTTAAAAGTCAAAGCAGAAATTTTTTTTTTTTGTGAATAGAATTGCAATTCGATAAACAACAGAAAAACAACAACAACAAAAATGATTTCAAACAAAATGAATGCATTTTATTTTCAGAGTCGAAAGAGAAATGGAATTTTTTTTTTTTGGATTAAATGACAATTGGTATCGAATGAAAATAAACAACCAGCATCCAGCACGTCTAAAGTATTTATGATGATAATGATAATCAATTTTTCTTTTTTTTTTTCCACATAAGCTTTGCATGTTTGTTTGTGTGTTGTATCGATATTCCAGGCCTGGTATATTGTGCATTGTATTATTACGATGTAATGTTTGAGAAAAATATTTCCGTTCGCTGCAAGACATCGACGCCCAGTCGAGCTTAAACAACCGATCCATTTGGTACAGGATTTTTCTTTTCTAAACGACTATTTATTTGTATGAATGTAATAAATATTGGACAATGATTTAGATATGTATGAAATCAATGCACACACACACACACACACACACACAAACATATGACAAACAACAAAAATGAATAAATGAATGAATCTGGACAAAATTTCATATAGCGATAAAATGAAGAAAATAGAGAAAAAATGCCGAAAAAATGGTTCTAATTGATGTTTGGATTTTTTTTTATTTTCTTCCATTTTCATTTCATCACACTGGCAAGCTATTGACCATTTTGAAGGTTTACTTTAATGTATACAACAACATCATCATCATTATCAGAGGGGATAATCATTGACTAGGGGAAAATGTGAAGCCAATCATTATTCTGTTCCACAGATGAATGGAATTTTCAATGATGATCATAATCATTGATGGTGGTGGTGGTGGGAGGAGAATCCATTCATTTGTTCATCCATCTATTCGCGAAAAGGAAAACAACCAAAATAGAGCAAAACAAACCAATAGCAGCAGTATGATAGTGAATGTCAATTATCGGCCATCGTTAGTCTTTCTTTTTTTTGCATCGTTTTGTATATGCTGGACTTTGGTCCATACTGTGTGTGTATGTGATTATCACAGATATACATCATTTAGATATAAAAGAAAATATTGGAAGCCAAAATAGGAGGATAGAAAGAAAAAAAATTATTTAACGCGCTGTCAATGTCAGATCACTAAAAATGAGAATGACAAAATGGTTTGCGGTTTGACTTCCAGAATTTTCGAATAGAATTTATTTTTGTTTGACTGATTTTCTGGTTGCCTGATGGAGATTCGGATGATGGACAAAATGGGAGGAATAAAAAATCAGGCACATACATTTGCTATGATGATGATTATTATGGAGAAGGTGATTGGATTCGGTTGTCTTCATCCAGATTTTATTTGTCCAGAAAAGAAAAGTTTAGGTCCGTTTCATTCAATTTAGCTAATGACAGTTTTTTTTCGTTATTTTTTTCTCGTCAGTTGATCGAGATTCATTTCAATAAAAATAGAACAAGAATGGTAAAAAAAAAATTTTGAGTGGGCAACTACTGAAATTTGTTTGAAACTAAACAATATATGTGTGAATACTGTATTAGTATATGAATGAAGAATGCCAATTTAATCGAATTGATTGTACTCGATATAATACACTATTCGGTCAATATTAGAGGACAATAAAAACACTACTAGTAACACAATGGAAGAAAAGAGAAAAGATATTTCGAATTTGCAATCACGCTTATAATAATATTATTATTATTAAATCGAGAAAAATTCAAAGTCATCTATGGAGAAAATCCAATTCAGTTCAAAAGTCAAGAACCACAGAAATGACCGATGATATAAACCAACCAACCGATATTTTTGGCATCCATTGACATAAATAAAATAAAAAATGGAATGGAATAGATATCAGGTGGATAAGTCAGTTATTTTTTTCTCTCTTTCTCATATCGATCTCAGCTAATAATAATATATTATTTTTGAACAAATATTATTCTTATATATTCAATATATATTGATCTAAATCCAATTTCGATGATAACGATTATGATGTCAATGATGATTATTATAGCCACAGATGTCATTGTTGGCATATATTTTTCACATATAAATGTATAGAAAAAAAAATATAAACCACTTTAAAACGGCTCAAGAATTTTTTTGTGAGTGCTCAATTTCATTTCATTTTTTTCCGTACAATATTTGATAAAAAAAATTTTTCCCAAAAAATTCGTATAGCTTTCGGAAACAAAAACGAAACAAAAAAAAATGAAGAAAAAAAACCGGCATAAAGCATCATATGTGCATGGCATCAAATTCGAGTGCAATCATATATATGCTATATATATGAGTGTATATCTGTGCCATTGCAATATGGTGAACAATAACATCATTTTGGATCGACCGTTCGAGTGATTGACATGACTGACAATAGTCCAACGAGGAGAAAAAAAAATTTGGGCTGTATTTTTTCCATCAATTTCATTTGCTTCCCATTTGGAACAAACATTTGTTCATTTTCACATGAAAATCAAATATAACAAAGTATGATGTTCTCATCATCAGTATGATGATATTAGTCATCAAAGAGGTTCATTATGATTCTCATGTGAACAAATTAGTGTTTTTTAAACGATTCCAATAAACATTTAAATAAAGATATTTGAAACCAACATTACAGGGGTAAATACTTGATGGATTCCATTTGTCCGGATAGAATCGTTACGGAACAAATAGAATAAAAATTATTTGTTATGGTCTTTACAGATAAACAAACAGAATTAAGGATGATTTCAATTTTTAATTCCCAGAATTTATAGCCAAGTGAAAATAAACAAAAGAATATGCGTAACTATTTTCCTTACTGGTTCGAATCGGAAATATTTACATTCGAGATCCGTTTTTTTTTCGTTGCTGGTTCATGAAAATGAATTCATTGAAAAAAGCCCCTGGAGATATAGAACATGAAAAAAAACAAATCCGGAACACTTGAATGTTGGAAATTGCATAAAATTCATGCATACAAACACAATGTCACGTTCAAATCATCACTAAGATGAAAATAAATATATCGAAATTCGATCGATCTGCACAAGTTAACTTTGTAACGAAAAAAAAAACATTTATTCATTTGTTTAGTTCATGTGATTCTTGTGTTTGATGCTAACAACGACGACGACGACGACGACAACAACAACAACACTATATTGACGCCCTAAAGCATTAAAACAATCATCATCATCATCATCATCAATGACAACGATCTATTTTTGAAACATTATTTTTTAAAAGTTTTCTCATGTTCAATTTCATTCGTTAATTATATTCTTGTTTGATTTTAAGTGTGTGTGTGTGTGTGTGTGTGTGTATGTCTATAGTTTTATTTTATAATCATCATACGCGTACATCATACGATTAGGATTATTCACTTTTTTTTGATGAAGATTTTTATTTTAGATTTTGGTTTTGCCTTTAAATGTAATATATATAAATGTTTTTACACACTGTTTGTCAATAGAAGTGAGTGTGTATGTTGCCACTCGAAAATGTGAACATTTCATACACGCGCGCATAAACAATCAATTTTTATTTGTTAACACAATAAAAAAAAAAATTGAGAAAAAAAAATTATCGGTTTCTGTTTTGTGTATTTATGAGGCGTGGATTTTTTTTTTTTTTTTTGGTTTTATAACCTTTCATAAAACACATAAGAATTTTGTCTATACTCATTTGGCAATTTTGGCTATTCCGATTACAACATAATCATAAAAATATTTGGTGGGCCACTGTGTTAAGTGTAATTAACACGTGTATCACGTGTCGTTATAATCATAAATTCATAATAATAATAATAACCATAACCTTTCACATGGAATAAAAATATTGTAGTTTTAATTTTTTCCTGTCACAATAATCTGAAAAATTTTCAACTAATAAGATTGTGATCGTTGAATCATCATATCATGATAGTCACGTGCATGGCCACAATGATCATTATGATGATGATGATGATGATGTTGACAAGGTCGATAGGTCGATCCATCTTGAATCATTACAAAAACAGTATGAAACATATTTCAGATATTTTAACGTAAACATGCCATTGTTCATAATACATGCTTTGACATTGTGTCATTGAATAACAATTTTGACAATTCTAAAAACAACAATCTTTTTATTCGATAAACATAAATTTCTAATTAATTAATTAACGAATAAAATTAACAGTAATTACGAATGAAAGTAATGACAAAAAAAATAAAACTTTGAAATTAGCTGAAGAGAATATATCAAACATACACATATTATTACGTGCAATGTGGCATTACATTCTTATTTTCATGAAACTATGGCATGCAAAATGTCAAAAAATATGCCCGTCTAACATGTTTGACTTTTTGTTGGTCGAATAGGGTCGAGATGATATAAATTAGGAACAATTCTTTTTTTTTTTTTTTTGGTTCGGTTACAAGAAATTTTGGATTGACAATCGCAAACACACACACACACACACATAATATCTCATTGATGGCATGTTCGATTCG